TCAGATTCATCAGAAGAGTACGTTTGTGGAATAGGCTTCGTTACGTCAAGTGGAGATTTTGGTTTGTCGTCTGGTTTTGAAATTGGTTCTATAGGCTTAACACCTTTGTCTTCTGGTTTGGCAGCAAATGGAACCAAGGGTACACCTGGTTTGACATCAGCCATTTTAGGTTTGTCGAACTCTTCATCAGATTCATCAGAAGAGTACGTTTGTGGAATAGGCTTCGTTACGTCAAGTGGAGATTTTGGTTTGTCGTCTGGTTTTGAAATTGGTTCTATAGGCTTAACACCTTTGTCTTCTGGTTTGGCAGCCAATGGAACCAAGGGTACACCTAGTTGGACATCAGCCATTTTAGGTTTGCAGAACTCTTCATCAGATTCATCAGAAGAGTACGTTTGTGGAATTGGCTTCGCTACGTCAAGAGGAGATTTTGGTTTGTCGTCTGGTTTCAAAATCGGTTCTATAGGCTTAACCAATTTGTCTTCTGGTTTGGCAGCGAATGGAACCAAGGGCACACCTGGTTTGACATCAACTATTTTAGGTTGGTCGAATTCTTCGTCAGATTCATCAGAAGAGTACGTTTGTGGAATAGGCTTCGTTACATCAAGCGGAGATTTTGGTTTGTCGTCTGGTTTTGAAATCGGTTCTACAGCCTTAGCACCTTTTTCTTCTGGTTTGGCAGCCAATGGGACCAAGGGCACACCTGGTTTGACATCAAATATTTTAGGTTGGTCGAATTCTTCGTCAGATTCATCAGAAAAGTACGTTTGTGGAATAGGCTTCGTTACGTCAAGTGGAGATTTGGGTTTGTCGTCTGGTTTCGAAATCGGTTCTACAGCCTTAGCACCTTTGTCTTCTCGTTTGGCAGCCAATTCAACCAAGGGCACACCTGGTTTGACATCAGCCATTTTACGTTGGTCGAATTCTTCGTCAGATTCATCAGAAGAGTACGTTTGTGGAATAGGCTTCGTTACGTCAAGTGGAGATTTGGGTTTGTCGTCTGGTTTCGAAATCGGTTCTACAGCCTTAGCCCCTTTGTCTTCTCGTTTGGCAGCCAATTCAACCAAGGGCACACCTGGTTTGACATCAGCCATTTTACGTTGGTCGAATTCTTCATCAGATCCATCAGAAGAGTACGTTTGTGCAATAGGCTTCGTTACGTCAAGTGGAGATATGTGTTTGTCGTCTGGTTTTGAAATTGGTGTTATAGGCTTAAAACTTTTGTCTTCTGGTTTGGCGGCCAATGGAACCAAGGGTACACCTGGTTTGACATCAGCCATTTTAGGTTTGTCGAACTCTTCATCAGATTCATCAGAAGAGTACGGTTGTGGAATAGGCTTCGTTACGTCAAGTGGAGATATGTGTTTGTCGTCTGGTTTTGAAATTGGTGTTATAGGCTTAAAACTTTTGTCTTCTGGTTTGGCGGCCAATGGAACCAAGGGTACACCTGGTTTGACATCAGCCATTTTAGGTTTGTCGAACTCTTCATCAGATTCATCAGAAGAGTACGGTTGTGGAATAGGCTTCGTTACGTCAAGTGGAGATATGTGTTTGTCGTCTGGTTTTGAAATTGGTGTTATAGGCTTAAAACTTTTGTCTTCTGGTTTGGCGGCCAATGGAACCAAGGGTACACCTGGTTTGACATCAGCCATTTTAGGTTTGTCGAACTCTTCATCAGATTCATCAGAAGAGTACGGTTGTGGAATAGGCTTCGTTACGTCAAGTGGTGATTTGGGTTTGTCGTCTGGTCTTGAAATCGGTTCTATAAGCTTAACACCTTTGTCTTCTGGTTTGGCAGCCAATGGAACCAAGGGTACACCTGGTTCGACATCAGCCATTTTAGATTTGTCGAACTCTTCATCAGATTCATCAGAAGAGTACGGTTGTGGAATAGGCTTCGTTACGTCAAGTGGTGATTTGGGTTTGTCGTCTGGTCTTGAAATCGGTTCTATAAGCTTAACACCTTTGTCTTCTGGTTTGGCAGCCAATGGAACCAAGGGTACACCTGGTTCGACATCAGCCATTTTAGATTTGTCGAACTCTTCATCAGATTCATCAGAAGAGTATGTTTGTGGAATAGGCTTCGTTACGCCAAGTGGAGATTTGGGTTTGTCGTCTGGTTTCGAAATCGGTTCTACAGCCTTAGCACTTTTGTCTTCCGGTTTGGCAGCCAATGGAACCAAGGGTACACCTGGTTCGACATCAGCCATTTTAGATTTGTCGAACTCTTCATCAGATTCATCAGAAGAGTATGTTTGTGGAATAGGCTTCGTTACGCCAAGTGGAGATTTGGGTTTGTCGTCTGGTTTCGAAATCGGTTCTACAGCCTTAGCACTTTTGTCTTCCGGTTTGGCAGCCAATGGAACCAAGGACAAACCTGATTTGACATCAGCCATTTTAGGTTGGTCGAATTCTTCGTCAGATTCATCAGAAGAGAACGTTTGTGGGATAGGCTTCGTTATGTCAAGTAGAGATATGGGTTTGTCGTCTGGTTTCGAAATCGGTTCTACAGCCTTAGCACTTTTGTCTTCCGGTTTGGCAGCCAATGGAACCAAGGACAAACCTGATTTGACATCAGCCATTTTAGGTTGGTCGAATTCTTCGTCAGATTCATCAGAAGAGAACGTTTGTGGGATAGGCTTCGTTATGTCAAGTAGAGATATGGGTTTGTCGTCTGGTTTCGAAATCGGTTCTACAGCCTTAGCACTTTTGTCTTCCGGTTTGGCAGCCAATGGAACCAAGGACAAACCTGATTTGACATCAGCCATTTTAGGTTGGTCGAATTCTTCGTCAGATTCATCAGAAGAGAACGTTTGTGGGATAGGCTTCGTTATGTCAAGTAGAGATATGGGTTTGTCGTCTGGTTTCGAAATCGGTTCTACAGCCTTAGCACCTTTGTCTTCTGGTTTGGCAGCCAATGGAACCAAGGGCACACCTAGTTTGACATCAGCCATTTTAGGTTGGTCGAATTCTTCGTCAGATTCATCAGAAGAGTACGTTTGTAGAATAAGGTTCGTTACGTCAAGTGGAGATTTGGGTTTGTCGTCTTGTTTCGAAATCTGTTCTACAGCCTTAGCACCTTTATCTTCTGGTTTGGCAGCCAATGGAACCAAGGGCACACCTGGTTTGACATCAGCCATTTTAGGTTGGTCGAATTCTTCCTCAGATTCATCAGAAGAGTACGTTTGTGGAATAGGCTTCGTTACGTCAAGTGGAGATTTGGGTTTGTCGACTGATTTCGAAACCATTTCTACAACCTTAGCACCTTGGTCTTCTGGTTTTACAGTCAAAGGGGTCAAAGGCACAACTGGTTTGACATCAGCCATTTTAGGTTTAACGAACTCTTCGTCAGGTTCATCAGAAGAGTACGTTTGTAGAATAGGCTTTGTTACGTCAATTGGATATTTTGGTTTCTCGTCTGTTTTTGAAATCAGTTCGATGGGCGTAGCATCTTTTCCTTCAGGCTTGACAGCCAATGGAACCAAGGGCACACCTGGTTTGACATCAGCCATTTTAGGTTTGTCGAACTCTTCATCAGATTCACCAGAAGAGTACGTTTGTGTAATAGGCTTCGTTACGTCAAGTGGAGATTTGCGTTTGTCGTCTGGTTTGGAAATCGGTTCTACAGCCTTAGCGCCTTTGTCTTCTGGTTTGGTAGCCAATGGAACCAAGGGTACTCCTGGTTTGACATGAGCCATTTTTCGTTGGTCGAATTCTGCGTCAGATTCATCAGAAGAGTACGTTTGTGGAAAAGGCTTCGTTACGTCAAGTGGAGATTTGGGTATGTCGACTGGTTTTGAAATCGGTTCTGCAACCTTAGCACCTTTGTCTTCTGGTTTGGCAGCCAATGGAACCAGGGGCACACCTGGTTTGACATCAGCCATTTTAGGTTTGTCGAATTCTTCGTGAGATTCATCAGAAGAGTACGTTTGTGCAATAGTCTTCGTTACGTCAAGTGGAGATTTGGGTTTGTCGTCTGGTTTCGAAATCGGTTCTACAGCCTTAGCACCTTTTTCATCTGGTTTGGCAGCCAATGGAACTAAGGGCAGACCTGGTTTGAAATCAGTGTTTCTCTCAACGGTGGTTACGTGAAGTGGAAGTTTGGGGGTTTCGTCTAGTTGCGAAATTCTCTGAGTGATTGTTTCTTCAGTTGCAACTTCGGAAATATGTTTGTTCTCGGTGACTTTCAGTGCTGTTACTTTAGAACTTGAGATTTCTGTTTTGTATTGGGTATAAATATATTGTTCTTCTATGGACTTTTCTGAAGATTCTTTTAATGCTTTTATGCAGTCTTTTTGTAGTGGAGTTAGGGGAACGTTAAAACTGTCTATTGGGTACACTTTTTCTGTTTTGCTCTGATCAGTTGTGGTCGATTTTTGTAAAGGCACGAGTGGTACGCTGAACTCGGAATGTTTTGCGTATATGGACTGTCCAGTTTCATTTGTTGAATCTGCGCTTTTTAGTTCTATTTTGTCGGTGTAAATACGATTTTCTTCCTGCTGCATTACAAAATCCTTGTTTTCTTTAGAAGACGTCCCGTCAGCTTCATTCTTAATTTCCGTTTGTTCACTAGTTGTTTTAGTAGTAGTTATTGGAAAAGTTTTTGTGAGTGTATCGGAAGTTTTTGTGTGCAAAGTTCTTTCTGAACTTTCAGTTTTGTGCTTCTCCTTTTCTATACATATTTCCAATTTGCGTTCGTAATTTTCAGTTTCATGCATTTTATCCCTAAACTCGCTAAACACATTCACACTAGTATTTGTACTCTGCTGTACAGCTGAGCCAATCCTTTCTCTGTCTATCATTGGGAAGCTTAAATTGTCTATCACAATTTTTTCTTCACTTGGAATTTCTTTTCTATCACATATTGTTGTAGTGCCTTTTTGTTCTAAATACTGAAGACTTTCATCTATCTTAAATTGAACTGGGACCTTAGTATCTAATTGACCCTTATTGTCTATTATCTGCTCTTTTAATGGGAAATGTTTAGCATCTTTTTGGATATATTCTTCAATATTTTCAACAGATTTGCTTACAGTTTCACTTGCAGCCTCATCTACGAAATTAAATTTGCTTTTCTCTTTGATTATATCTGCCTCGACTCGTGTAAATTTTCCCTCATACGCTGGTGGCTCGGAGCCATCTACGCTTTGTAAGAACTCATCAGTTTCACTAAGAACATAACTATCTAATTTCGTAATATCTGCTGCTGTCATTTCGCGTACAACGTGTTTCCTTACTGGGAACGGCGGGCTTTCGGTCGAAGACAATGCTGCACGCTGCTCAAATGTTTTAACAACATCCTTAACATTTGGTAAACTTTCGGCAATCGCACTTTCAGCAGCCGGTAACTCACTAGTTTCCCTGAAATCACTTGCGTCAATAATCATCTCCTCTGCCCTAACTCTATCAGAACCTCCTTCGACACTATCAAGTACTTGCGCTATATCTTTTACCTTCGCTGTAATTGGGATTGTGTCAAGATCTTGCTCCTGCATCAAATTATTAACTTCATCCCTAGCCACTTCAAACATTTTGCGCTTCAAGCACACCTTTTCACACACTTCCTCTTTCGGCACATCGTCATCACTCAATCTAGCCTCGATAGCCTGAATTGGCGACAATTTTACTTCTTCAGCCGGTGGCTCATGCGACACAAGCTGCTCCAGCGCTAGATCAGCTTCTGTTAAAATTTGCTTCTCTAGGGTATTTTCATCCACTTTAGCCGCTGAGGACGCGCGTGGTCTCACTTTGAATGGCACTGTTTCCACATTATAGTCATGCATCTTGCCTTCGAAGTCCTTCACCACCTCCCTAACAGCTGGCAATTTTTCTGCCATATCAGTAAGAGACTTTTGCCTGTCTATAGCTGCTGCTGGCTCGCTATATTTACTAGTTTCCAGCTCTAGAATTTTACGCTTAACATCAACACGACCCTTTAGCTGATCCAAATTCGATTTGTCATCAAATCTGGATACTTTAGTCACTTCAGTTGCCGTTTCTAATTTTTCATGTTTTTCATCTGGCATAGGTTCAACTCTTTTGGCCGGCTTATCCCATGCAGTATCGTGCTTGTGTGCCATGTCTGTTCTCGTTACAGCTGTTGTAATAGTTGTCTTAATTTGACTACCACCACTCATTTCTGGAAATGAGGTAGTGTCTCTAAGATACGCTGCTTCTTCGTCTGATTTATTCTTCGTTTCGGGCAACTTTTCAGCTTCAGTAATCTTGGCAAAGCTACTCGAATTAACATTTTGAATGCTGAAGTGCTCTGTTGTTATATTTTATATCATTCATTCATTCAAGCAAGCATATATAATATATCATATATCATATTGTTATTCGTTAGTATGTTTTTATATGTAAATTTGTATGTTTGTATTTTCAGTTGCATTTCCAGACCATAAGCAGTTTAAAGGAGGAGGAGGAGGAATATACGATGTAAAATAACAAGTACAATTAACACTGATGGATATAACCATGATCAAGGACTTAGAAATCAGGTCAGTTGGTATATTATTAGGCTTAGTAAGATGTTGACAACATGCACATAATTAAGAGTGAGTGGGGTGTTCATTTGATTTATATGTATGATAAATTTTATTAACGAGTAAATATGTTGGCACCACGAGTTGCATGTGCTACAGATGTACGCATGTATGTACATATGTATGTATGTATAGTAAGGTGTGGGAAGCAACAAAAGAATAAAATTACAATGATACGACCAGCTAGCCACCAACTGAAATTCTTTAAAGCTGCGCATTGCCATTTTTGGTACATACATATGTATTTATAGTAAGTAAGTATGCATATTAAAACGATATGTTGTGATTATGTGTACATACATATGCAGGACACAATATGCTATACGAGGTCGTGGATTATATGCAGCTGGTGTGTCGTTGGTACGTTGATTTTCTTCGATTACGATTACTTAAAAATAATTAATTCATTTTCACATTATGTAGTCTACTAGAACGTTTGCATTTTTAAATATGAATCAGCTATGTAATTGCAATTGAGTGTACAAATATACAAAAAAAAATAAAAATAAAAATAAACAAGAAACGCGAGTGTGTTTGAAAAGTAGCTTCTCCAACCACGACTTCATATAACATACGCATATTTCTATATAAATATACAGTAATGTTCACGTTAATTGATAGATATACATACAGCCGCTGCATTGCCAAATTTATTTCAAAAGCATAATTAATTTAGTTTTGTGTTTGAAAATAAAGCAAGTGCATTTTTCTTTTGTTAAATTTTTACATTTAATGAATAAACCAAAAACCGCGTAAGAGATGAGTACATACTTATATTGCATTAATATGTAAATGATAATATTTTTGTTTTCTTTTTTTTGTAGCGCAGTACACTAAACAACTGAAAAGTCTAACATATTACACAAAAGAATTTACATCTATTCAAAGTATTCGTGATAACAGCACTATTGAACCTAAATGCTTTAACAAAAATCCGAAGCTATAACAAATCAAAGGTTAAAAACTCATATAGACCCCTCTATTCTAACACAGTCACTAAACTTAGCTCATCATTGTTGTGATTTCTAGTGCGCCGAAAAATGTGTCACAAAAATGCGATTTTAAGTCCTTAAAAATTTGTGTTGTTGCGGCATATTTGTTCCAGCAGCAAATTTTGAGGCGCAATAGAAATCACAGCAGTGATGCGCTAAGGCTTTGTTAGAATACGGCTGAGAGTGTATGCGTATACCCGTAGATAAAAAATTTAAGTTGAAAAGAATAACTTAAACTTATCTAAATTTGATTTTAAATTTTTTTATGCTTCTGTGAACTTTTCACTTTACAACCCAGCCAAATATTTCAGGTCAATACTTTGCTCTTTTTTTTTGTAAGCAGTAGCACGTATCTCTCGTAGATACAGAGAAGTGATCAGCAGCGCTTCGTTAAGATGTTCCAATAAATAGTTAGCGAATCGAAAGGATCTAAGCTCTTAAAGTACAACTCCACAACAATTTTTTCAGACGTTCAGCGCTTTTCGGGCTTCCAGCAATAGCTGAATTGTGTAGCTTAAAGCCTGAAAAGCGCCAAACGCCAGAAAAACCTTGTTGTGGAGATGTACTCTTAGATCTCACTCATGTGTCTTCACATTGTATGTAACCTAGCCTAACCTAGTCTCTCTTCGTGTTGGCTTAAGATGCTAAAGAGGCTAATTGTGCTGAAAATAAAACACGGGATTCCTCGAAAACGTCTATCTAAAACTCAGCATCTTTATATTGCATTAAGAGGGCGTAACGAAAAGCCATCTACTATACAGTGGCGATTGGGTTTGAAGGAAGCATTTGCTTACAAAAAAAAAAATCTAAAAAAAATCTGAACGCGATTCTTCCCTCGCTTGAAGATGATCGTCTTGAGCTTTCTGTTAGCGTCAAATATTTAGGCCTGATTTCGAATAGAAATACATTAAACTTCTTCCCAGACGGCTCAAAAATTAATGTTGGTGTAGGAGCGGGAGCGTACTGCTCAGAACATAATGTTCTTCAGCCCATCAAGCTGCCGGATCGCTGCAGTATATTCCAAGCGGCTGAGCTAGCCTACTCAATTACTGGGAATAACTCTAAAGTTAACATATACATGCGTAGATATTCAAGCAGCTATGATAAGGCTGTGAGCTCATACCAATTTAAGTCACAAATTGCCCTTAAAAGCAGGGAGGCCATAAATAGGGCGGCAGCAAAAAGCCGACTGCATATTTATTGGGTCCCCGGCCACAAAGGGTATTACAGGTAACGAAATTGTAGATAAGATTGCCAAGAGCGGAATCCACTTGATTCTATAACAAGAGAATAACGTTACAAAACCTCTAAAAAAACTTTATAACGAAATAGACCAGAGCGTGAAAAAGCAGACTATATCGAGATGGAATACGCTAAACAAATGAAAAATCTCTAAACTTATGTGCAGACTAGAAATCAGGACACAAACCCGGTTTGTACTATCGCTGGCACGAAGAGACTAGAAAATAATGGTAGGGATCCTAATAGGACATAGCATGTTGGCAGCGCACGCAAACGGAATGGGGATAGCTGTCATTGAAGTTTGCAGGAAATGCATGGGACGGGAACAAGGAAGACTCTAGAACACATCCTATGCCTTTGTCCTGCTGTATCAAAAACACCTTTGAAATATTTTGGAGCTTCAAAGCTTAATAATAAAAAAGTATTGAAATTCTCAAAAAGCGTTGGCATCCGAAATGATGTATACTTCGAATATACTTAACTAAACCTCTATCTAGGGAGCTATTGCTCTATGTGGGGCAGTCAGCCATTCAGAATAACCTAACCTAACCTAACCAAATAAAAAGCTCTCAACAATGAAATAGGCAAAAGTTGCATTTTATTACTTCTACAGGGGAGCCATTGGTAAGAGAGCAGGGCTCCCTCTNAAATAAAAAGCTCTCAACAATGAAATAGGCAAAAGTTGCGTTTTATTACTTCTACAGGGGAGCCATTGGTAAGAGAGCAGGGCTCCCTCTTAAAGTAGTGGTTTGGCTCTATGATAACAGAGGGAAGTCTAAAATGTTTTATGTGTCCCTCAGCTGGGGGTGTATCCCGGTGGAAAAGTCACATCAGCTAGGCAGCTAGCGCGTATATAATGGACTGCGCGTACTGGAATCATTGCGGTACTTCCCAGAAATCCAATATGAAACACAGGCTCCTTTTAGGCTCAGTCGAACAGGATGCTTTATTAGCTCGGCGTCTTGGATGCTTCTACTTCGTTCCTGATATATTCCCGCAAATGATGAATCGAAGCTTAATGGAAGCTTCGTGGATTCTGCGAGGAGCTCTAAATCCAACTCAAATTAAGGATGCAAAGGTGGCTCACAGATATTATTCTGTCCCACCTAAAATTACTTAAACTAAGCCTAACATTGTGCTCACATTAATCGTATAAAGGCTGTGAAAACGAATACTTGCTACAAGAACGCGAATTCGAATCACACACTTTGACTCTTTCAAATCAGTTGACATATGTAACTATGCTATAAAATATTTTATACAGCCCTTGAAGAATATTTGCGCTCAAAATTTTGACATTCTCCCGAGCGGTGCAAACAAATCCTATTGCAATGAATGTAGCATCAATACCATGACTAAAAATTATAATTAGACTGTTAATAAAAAATACTGCTTTTATTTAGAAAAGAACAAAGCAAGCTCAAAAGTGGAACAAATAAAAAGCAGTGGAAAATTATAGATTAATCTTATTTTAACTTTAAATTATTGCATTTTTTCTGACTTTTTCGGATTTGCGTAGCGTTCTTGCCACCGTGCCGTAGCCTAGTAGTGCTTAGATGTGTCTACTGCCACTTGGCAGGCCCATAGTTCTATTTCTGATCCCAGCAACTGCAGTTTTTTCAAATACCTACCACCCCTCTGAAGAAAATGGAAAACCGCCGAGTGTACTTCTGGCATAAAAAAAGATTTTCGGAGGGAGAGTTACAGTGTAGATCTCTCCATTTGTGTCACACCATCAAGAAGCCGAAGACAAATTGGTGTAGAAACTCGGCTAAACACGTAGAAAATGTTTAAGCGTGAAACATTTATCTATTGGAATCAAATATGATGTACTGTTCATCCCTAAATAACCTAGGATATAATTTTTAAACTATTTATGGGATTTCCCTTAAGTTGGAAGCTTTGAAAATTTTTAAAAACTCAAAACTTTTATTGAGAGCTCAAGATTTGTATGAAAAAAAAATAAAAATAAAAAAATTCTGTTTATCACGATTTCAAAAAACGCCTATAGATGTCCATAAAACCGCTGAAAACCGGTTTGGAAAAATCGAGTAACTCCCCTAATACCCACATATATAAATACATATTTAATTTATATTAAAGTCTTGAATAAATTATTGTATTGAATAATATAGGCTTGAATCCATATTATGTTAATCACCTTCTCATGTCGAAAAATTGGGATATATTTGGTTAGTCAGTAAAAAGTTCACAAATTTTATATTAAAACAAAATGGCGAGCTTCATTGTATGAGTGTCTTTTAGAGCTTTTAAAATAACCATAATAGAACTTTAACGTGGCGGAAGCTGAAATGTTTTGATTGCCATGCTTTATTGTCTACCCTAAGTTAAGGTTACGAATTCATGGTAGAGTAGTTAAACTCAATCCCATGCTCATAGAGAAAAATTGATTATTAAGACCAATGTTAAATATTGAGGAAGTAGCATCACTTGATGTGTTTGACAGTCGTTAAAAGCAGACCATCGAG